GCTAGCGTGCCGCTGGCGTGCGCTAGCGGCACGCTAGCGTACGCTGGTGACGCTGGGAACGCTAGATCGATATCTATCCTTTCCCCGACACTGCCGCTGGCGTACGCTGGAAGCGCTACGCTACGCTGCCGCAAAGTATAAACGCAGCCTAACTTATCCCAATATCGAGGCGATTCTCGATTGATCGAGGAATGGCTCATCAGCCAATCGGCTGATATTCTTCGACTGAGACGCCAAACATCGCAGTCCAGAAGCACTCATCATCAGGGAATCCGAGGATCGATGGATTATGGAAGTTTAGAGGTTGTAAGAGAAGCAAGCTACAGAAGTCATACGCGCAGTGCTATTCAAAGCATTCCTATTAATTAAAGCTAACCAAGAGAGTGAGACAGAGGAGAGAGAGGGGGGGGGGTATGGGATTCGGTTTTCCTTATTCAAACGGCAGGCTTAGCAAAGAGGTCTCGTCCTTACGGTCTGCTGAACTCTTATTAAGTTCTCGATCAATTTTGCTTTGAACGAGCTGCGACTTCGTTCATTCAAGGCATGCCCCGCGTTCATAAAAAGTGACTTGGGCGTCCCATATACTAATGAGAAGGTGGTAAGTCAAAGTAGGGGAGAAAAATTTGAAAAAGCTCAGAAATGCCCCATATAGAGCCCCACGCTCAACCGCGCTTGCACGTTCACAAGACGGAGAGTGGGCGTGGTCGGACGAGTTCTATCTTCTTGGTGCCAGCCTTTTCCCCTTACACCTGATTCCCACTATCCACAACGGAAAGCTTAGTAGCGGAACAACCACACGACTAGAAAGCCTTTAGAAATGAGATCTGGGCGTCGCCGTTGAAAGTTTCAACCATGCGCCCGTCGCGAGCTGGTGACGCTTTCCTCACGCACTTCCGAGCTGCGAAACTAGTACATCCTCTAAGCTTACGGACAGGATTCCATATCCAAAGGCGTCCGAACATCAATTAATGCGGGACGTGCCTTCAAGGAGAGAAGGTCCCGTATGAATCGCCTGGCACTCGGCATTCTGGAGAAGAGGATACAACTAGCATGGTGACACATGGACTGGACTAGCTTCTGCTGGCTGACTGCAAAGGAGTTTTGATTACTTGGATCGAAGACAGAGCCTACTGAAAAACCATACAACCACACAGATTTCACGCTCTTTGCTATCGAACCATGTTTTCATGGGCCGCGAGTTAGTAATCAGGTCTAGTGGTTTAGCATGAGAGGCGTATGGCCGATGTGGAAGCCGCGTATGCGAAAGAACAAGCGCAGCACGTAAGTCACTCAAAGGTGGGACCGCTTATCTTTTGGTCATATTACGTCAGAGCAATCGGATATTGAAGCTCACACTGCAGGTAAGAGGCAAAAATGCGCCACAATATCTCGAGAAAGGAACCCTGCTCTCAAAGAAGTATCGCCTTGAAAAAATGATCGGCGGTGGAGGATTTGGTCAGATTTACAGAGCCATAGACATAGTGAGCCACTTGAAATCGCCATATCCTTCTTCGGAAAGAAAAATTCTGTGTACTTTCCAGGAAATGGGCACAGTCGTGGCAGCAAAAGTGGAACCACAGTCGGAGGACGCTGGCCGTATGGTGCTTGAGCAAATGGTGCTTACGAAACTCGTCGGTACACGGCATTCGCCAAGATTGGTTAGATAATTTCCACTTGTAGAAGTCTAAAGCAGAACTATGTGATACTTTGGGGACTTAAAGAAAAAGCTTATCATAAGATAGTCATTATATATCTAACTTGTTCAACACTACACTGTCGATTTCAGTATGCTTCGGGATGGATGAATAACTACAACTTCATCGTTATGCAAATGTTGGGAAGAAATCTCACTGAACTGCGAAAAGCACAGGCAGATCGCCGCTTCAGTGTGCATACGGTACAAGGTTTTCCATGGCTTTTGTAAGCTTATGTGACCCTTTGAAAAGCTGACCTAGAGCCTTTCTAACATATACAAAAGTCTTACTGGCTCAGATGAAGCCAACGTGGTACCCTAAACAATCTGAAACCGTACGCAATGTGCGTGGCGCACCTGTTGAGAACCCATTCATAACAAGCTCATCGTTTCGTCATGAAGCCAAAACCATTACAGACGGTACGAGTTGGAATGCAAATCATCGAGGCATTGAAATCCGTGCACGATTTGGGATTTCTTCATCGGTGAGTCTAGAGCTCGTCTAGAGAGAGGCATTAGGCAGTCTCCAGAAGTTCGACTGGGTGTTCCTGGGGATGAAGGGGAGGGAGGGGGACATACGAGCATTGAAAAAATTCCAGAGGCACTGGATACGCTGGCTCAGGCTTTTCTTTTTGCTCAATTTCCCCTCCGCTCGAAGGGACTCCTTGTGCAAGAAAAATCCTACCTTCGCAGGGACCTCCCCCGTTCCAGCGTTCAGCCGTAGTTAGATTCTATATCACTCCGTAGGGACTGCGTCTCCCGAAAACCCAATTCTGGACCAACGCCAGCGAAAGTGGGCCGCAAAAGAGAGTTGAGTTTCGCCCAAAGGGGTATCGAGTGGAGAGAAATGAGAGCTTCGGCTGCATGCAAGATTCTCCGGGTAATGGAAAGGGAGAGGAACAAGCCCTACTATTATTGCATCCCTTGTGGAGGGGAGGGGGGACGGGACAAAAACGAAAATAGACATTAAGTCTCGGAAAGACTCCAGACGATTACTGGGATCACCGCGGAATGTGACTCCATGAAGGCTGATGAACACTGTCTGGGCTCCTTCCATACCGAACTCTTACGTTACTTTATTAACGTAAACATTCAAATCCCTATTGAAAGAGTCGAGATTCCGGAGAAATTGGGGACCACACTGCCATATCTGCAAAAGTACGAGGGGTCAACATTACGCATTCAGGGATGTCAAACCCTCTAACATGTGCGTTGGCATCGGTGAACATCGACGAATCATTTATCTTGTTGATTTTGGTACGTTATTTTGAGACTTCCGAACTACGATCCTCCCGAGTGTGCTCTAGCTGATCGTAGGTTTGAGAAAGAAGTGACTTGGTTAGAAAGTGACTACAATCTTGTTCGTTGCGGATGCTGGGCGTGCCAGGAGCAGAGGGGGGGGGGCTCGCGTGATAAAGCAACCGCCAGCTTTCCAAGTCGTCATGCCAGGTTCCGCAATTGGTGGAGGATGGGCTGGTGCCGCTTCAGTAGAAAGAAAAAAAGGACAGATTCATTACGTTCGAGAAAAAGAAGGAATGGTCCATTTCGCCTTTACAGGTGAACCACTATATTCCATCAGTCCACTGAGGCTCCGAAATCGGTGTAGAACGGGCTGGCGCCGCACCAACTCCTTCCCTAGCACGATCCAGATCCACAGCGAACCAGGTTGTAGAGATGCTGCAACTTCTCTTCTTCTGCATACTGAGCCTTTGAACGGCCGGCGCCTGGATGATATGTGAATGAAAGTACAGACCACGCCTGACGAGTCCTCTGTGGGAACTGACCGCAGTGGAGAGATCCGTTTCATCACACAACTTTTAGGAATGACGCGACAATTCCGTCTTCCCAACGGTGAATTTCGTAAGGAACGTGCTTACGCTGCATTCAGAGGCACTATGCGTTATGTGTCCTTGTCGGTGCATGAACGGAAAGAACAGGTACTGTCCCTGAAAATTAACCAACCCACCTAACTATAAGACTACTCTGTTTCCAGGGTCCCGTGGACGATCTCTGGAGCATCTACTACACACTAATTGAGTTGGCTGAAGGCTCATTACCATGGCGTACTATCACCGATCATGACGAGATATTTCAGTTGAAGAGGCGCATGACGTGTTACGATTTGTGCAGGTCAGCAGATCTGAAGGGGAACCATGAACCCGTACGATACCCAACGGCAGATATTTGCAGACACCTTCCACGTCATTTTGAAATGTTCCCGATTTTGCTTCGTGATCTCTGCTACACTTCAATTCCTGACTACAGCAAGCTCGTTCTGGCGCTGAGGGTTAGTTTCACGTACTGTACAAGAAGTCAACCCAGAACTATGGAATGTGGGCCCATGGATTGCTATCGGTAATTAGTAAACAACGCGTAAGCAGTATTACTAGAAGCACACCCATGTCCTAGAGAATGGGAAGGCGTGGCTGCGCACGCGTTTGATTGTTGCCTCGCCCGAACCTAACGGTGGAATATTTTGAAACAATTGTAATCATATCTTTGTTCCCAACATGAAAACAGCATGTCGCCATGCTCGAAAGTATTTAGCCACGCTCACTCCATCTCCGTGCTATGTACTGTACGCAAGGCACTGGAGAAATTTTCTGCGAAGTACAACCCCGTCCTGCCTACCATTTTCTCGGATTCTCTCAGTTCTCCACCACTTTTCTGAAGTCTTTTTCTCAGAAATTCACTTCCCCACCCCTCCCAAAATGCTATCGAAAGGGGGAGGCAAATACAGCACCTGAACAGGAGAACCCGAGAAAAAACAACAACCGAAAACATTCTTTCATAAGGCTAATTAGACCCCCCTCCTTCCAATGGCCGAATACGACCCCCTCGCTTGGTATGCTCAAGCTACGACGTACCCTGACTTTATAGCACATGTCTCGAAAAAGCTGAGGTGATCCCTAACTCTGAAGTTAATGAAGAATCCCGGGCCTCCAGAGAATATGGACATAAGGGGGGGGGAGGGGGCCGGTCTCCTAGCAATACACCCTTATTCCCATGCCGGTCGGTTATTGAAGCTTGATGGGACGGAAATGTTCGAGGCTCCCTTGGCGCTAATAAGCTTGGAGAGCTGAACTGGCTCAGTTCTAGGATTGGCCAGCGAGCAGAATTACCGTACTCCAGACCGCTTCACCCACGCCGATGCGCCTAAGCCTCCTATGGAAGTCCTCATCTCACATCTATCTGGTTTATCATATAGGCCCTTTGAGTGCCCTCTCACAGCGCTATTAGCGCCTGCATTTCCATTCGGCGGTTGACTGCATGGGACACTCCTCCTGGAATCGAGACCCACCCCATATTCATGACCGGGCAGTTCGGCGACGGGGAGGGGAGGGACATTTTGCACTTTCCACTTTCAATACTTCCCATCGACGTGTCGACCCATCTAGACAGCCTCTTCTCGAGTTGACAGGTTTTACCATGATGGCTTGACGAGCTTGCTCCAGCTTCACAAGAGTTCACAGGTTTCACCAGAGTGAGACTTGTAAACCAGAACTAGTGAAGCAACGAAAGTGCAAAATGTCCCCCGTCGTCGAACTGCGCCTTCGTAACCTCTGTCCACAACGAATTAAGAATATCTTCAGCGATGCTGCAAACTGGTCGACGATGAAGCTGACTTCGAATGGGACGACGAAAATTCGTCGATTTCCAACTAACTTCCTACGAATACACCATTCTGTCACATATACGTCCCATACCTTTTTTGACGATTCTATTCATTGATCATGCTTCTCATAAAACATTGAATCCTTAAAGTAAATAACTCTGTAGAATCGATCGATTCGATGTGGATCATACGAATAAACTAGCCTTCACAAACTTCATCCATAATAGTTAACCACCATGTGACAAGTATACATAGCAAGTTTGAAAAAGCGAGATCAGACCTACAGTATATATGCTATGCTATAATTCCAGTGATAGCCAAAGTATTACCAGTTAGAGTAAAATAGTAAGGGTAGTAAATGCTGAAAATATGTGTACAAAATAGCAATGTGCGCAAATACTATTCAAAAATCGCTTTTCCACAAGTGAATTGAGAAGTCTGACTCCAGTCCAGATGACGCGATGATGTTCTGCGTTGGATGGCAGTCCGTGGCCAGCACGACGTCCTGTTGGCAATCGATAGTTTGTACCACTTCCTTCGTCTGCAGATTCCAGATGTAGATCTTCTTGTCCTCAGAGCCCGACACAATCCATTTGCCACCAGTTACGGAGAAATTTGAGAAGATGCAGTACTTCTGGTTCACATGTCCCGTATAGGTCTTCAAACATTTACCTTTTGTGAAATCCCACAATTTCAGCGTGCTGTCGAGTGTAGATGCCAGAATGTATTTGCCGTTGGGAGAAAACTTCACAAACGCCACAGGTGGGTTGTCGTCATCGACCAACGTCTTCACGCACTGTCCATTCGCTGTCTCCCAAATCCTCACCAGGCCATCATACGAACTCGAACAAAGCAGGGTACCGTCGCGATTGAAAGATACCGCAGAGACTGGATCAGCATGAGCAGGTAGGACCTTCGTGCATAGGCCCGTCCGCAAGTCCCAAATTCGCACGGTTTCGTCGAACGATCCCGACGCTACCATCGTACATTGAGGATTGTAAGCGCAGCAGAAAACGTAGTTTGTATGGCCTTTCAACGTCTTGATGCACTTTCCTGTTTCGACCTCCCAAATTCGGACCGTCTTATCATCGGAAGCCGATGCCAGAAATAATGAGTTCGGACTCCATGCCACATCGTTGATGCCTATTTTGTGTCCGTTTAACGTCTTCATTGGTTTACCATCCTTCACAAACCATACACGTACCGTAGTATCCGCCGAGGCAGAGGCGATGTATGCCCCACAAGGCGAAAATTTCAACGACGCAACCGATTTCTGGTGGCCATTCAACGTCATCAAGAGTGAGTAATTGGGCAAACCGGGCTGAGATGGCGGAGGCGGCTGGATCGGAGTTGGAGCAACTTGAGCAGTTGGCTTGGTAACACCACCTTCGGCACTGACTGCGGATGCAGCGCCAGTTCCGTCGGACTGCCGCTGATCCGCTGACGCATTCGCTCCGTCCACTTCCATCTCCATTAACTAAAAAAAATCGGATTCGTCAGACAATATAAAGAGTTTGAATGACGGAAAAATTTATGGGGCACCAACCCTATTCAGCAACAAAACATTTCAATAAGCATTTTTATTCAGCATAGCAGACGACTTTAAATTATATTTTACAATTTTCAACAACGCTGAGGATCACTGACGATGTAAAACACAACAACTATACAATAAAACGACACACAATTATGTCTTCCTTTTCTTTGCCGCAGGTCTTTCGAAGACCGGTCGAACACCAGCTGAAAGCACATGCAAATATTAAACGGGAGCCAATCACCAAAAAAATGAGCAAAACGAAGCGTTCTTCAATGCACTCGAAAAATATCCCAATAGAAGCTTCGAGAGCCTAACATGAGGTATAAGCAGGATATCCAAGGAACTGACCGGCTTTTTTGTTGAAGAATTGGACATTGAGGTTATTAGCGCTAGCCCATACACCTTGATGGTCTGTTGTGTCTTCATTCGTAAGATGTGTATATTTCGTACGTGAAGCCTTTCCAAAGTTTTTAACCTGAATCGAGAAGATTCTTTAATGTAAAACAAGTACCAGAAATCCCCTCCGTAGAAGTTAGAACTAATACAAAAATAAGTTAAAAATACTTTTACTGACTTCTTCACCTGCCTGTTCACTTAAAAGTTATTCAGTTCTATAAGTGTACGGACAATCGGCGCATGGTGACCTAGCGCCTAAACTATTAACAGATGAACTGACCTGCATGACTTTAGGAAGCACTGTTTTATCGAATACGTCATCTGCCGTGGCTTCGGCAAAGTTCCTCTTATACACATCATCTTCCTCATCAAGGTAATACGCACCACGATGGTAGTACTTTTGCAAGAACTTGTATTTGCCCTTGATGGCCTGAAAAGAAAACAATAAGCAGCTATATAATAAATGCTGAGGAAAATTAAGAAAACATAGTACTTAACAGAAGGGAAAGTAAACAAAATAAAAACGAGTTATTAAGGAGTACCTGGTTTGTGATAACTCTCGGATTCGCACGTAGATATTTCAAACGTTCTTCTTCTGTCATATTATGAACGCGCTCAAATTCAGCCTTCTCCTTTGCTAACTGTTCTCGTTCCTCTCTATAATAACAACATTAGTCATAATACTGACGTCACTCAGCACTAATTATCGAGCTGCCCCCGGTTTCAAAATTTCAAAATTCTGACCAGATTTTGACCAAAGTTTGGAACTATTTCTCTATTGCTACTCTAAATACTCAAACCTTCTTTTTTTTGCTGAAACATCGCCTGAACCTGATCTCATAAAAACAGAACATTTAATCTTAATGCCGATGCCTTTACTTACCTGTTCCTTTTCAATCGCTTCATTTCTCGTAACTTCCACGTTTCATACGCAACATTCTCACTTTCATCATCGGTGGGTACAGAACCCAATTCGATATTTTCTTCTTTCTTTCGCTTTTCCATTTCATCTTCCTCGCGCAACACTTGTTGCACTAACTACAAAAAAAGAATTGAAGTGAAATTCAGAAATGACAAAAAACATAGCTTGCACACCCTGATGCTATCTCTTTTTCGTTCTTCTTTTTTCCTCTCCTCTTCCTTCTTGAGCAATTCCTGCGCCAGCTTTTCTTTTTCTGCTTCAAGCAATGTGACACGATCCTTCTTGCGAACAAATACCTAGGATCGCATAATGCTCAGAGGAAGGAGTGAAAAAATCTGCCGTGATGGAACAGAACATCACAACATTCAATGTTAAGGTACTGTTCACAGTCTGCGACTCTGCCGAATCGGAGAAACGGTGGAAAGCAATAAGTACGTATCGAAAGGGAGAGTCGTCGAACCCTTCGGCGAAACACCGGCGAATTTGGCGCCCATGCGAAAAAAGCCGGATATATCGATTCCGCCGCCCAAGACAGGAATGGGAAAGCGGACGGAGCTAGCGTTTCGGTAAGGCAAAGCGCTGATTCTCCCACTCGATACGTATCTGAGCCCTTTGCAAAAGTGCCGGAATCGCCCGCTCAGTCCGCTGATTCGCTTGTCAGTGTGAATCCTAACTTTTCCGCAGAAGCATTTCTTTTCTTGATTCGTCAGATCACAGACTGTGAACAGGCAACGCGATGGAGCAAAAAAAAAACTGCAAAACTCTTACTGGCTTTAATCGAGGCAAAGTGTCGTCCTCCTCTTCATCACTTGATTCTTCTTCAGATTCCTCTTCATCCTCTTCTTCATCTTCCAGTTCCTCCTTGATTTCTTCCTGCATTTATGTCATGACGCAATTTGCGGAAAATAAAAACCGTAGCGACGGAAACTAGTGCAAACCTTCGCCTTCAGTTCTTCGAACTCCCTTTGTTTGGCTCGTTCTCGAATCATTTGCCGACGTCGTTCGAATTCCTCTTCGTCACTTCCAATATCATCTTCTTCCTGAACGAAGCGACGTTCCTCAGGGCAATTTAGGACACGTACAGTTAGTTTAGTGAAGCTATTACCTCCTGCTGCTGTTGCTGCTCAAGCTCTAATCTTCTCAAGCGCGCACGCTGCCGGCGTTGCTCAGCGATTTCCGTATCGCTATCAGACTCTTCTTTTGCAATGATCTAAACGACTACGGCAGTAACCTTTCAAACTGTGTAACACATCCTCAATGCTATAGTTTCCAATAAAAAAAAGTTCCGTCCGTAAAGATAGTGATTGGTTCAGCACCGTACCTCGGGTTCTTCAATGACCCGGCTGCTTTCTTCTCGATGTCGATCACGACGTCTCTGTTCTCGCTCTTCGTCTTTTTCCCGTCTATGTCTTTCTTTTGGTCGCTCCTCTTTGTCAAATCTGCAAAAACTGCGGGCGCTACTAAGTGAAAGCAAATTGTTACTTATCCAATAATCACCTGCTCTCCCGCCGCTTTTTCTCCTCTTTCACTTCATCTTCAGAGTCGGTCCCATCGTCCTTTGCATAGTTTGGTCTGAAAGATGTAGAGCAGTACTCAAAGTCGAAAAAACGGCACAACGAGAAAAACGAAGAGTACTTTTTAATGTGTAACCTCATCCAGATACTCCAGTAATACTGATTTGTTAGAGCTCAAAAAAGTAGCAGCTTCTACCAGTCTTTCTAGTCTTAATCTTAACCATACAAGACAATAGCATCAACGCTTAGTTAACTCCGTTCCGTTGCGGGGATCCGTAACGTTCCGTTGCGGGGATCCGTCCAGAATCTTTCTAGTTTAGGCGTATTCCGATGCTTCTGAGAACCCAAGTACATTGTTCTCTCATTACGGATGACCCTAGATCGACGTGATCATTAGTGACGAAAGCTATACCCTCATGCGCATTTTATAACGCTGACTTCAGATCTGCCTTCAAAATCTGCCAGTGTTTCTAGGAACCGGGAAGAGTGTCGGTTTCAAAGGCCTGAACAAAATCCAGGAGCAGTTTCTCTCGAAGTCTCTTTTCATGTGTTGGAAAACGTGTCTGTTGGTGTAGACTCCATAACAAACAGTCTACTCCACAAACGTCGTCACAAACAGTCTGTGAGTCGTTCCTAGTTTTGTACCCAATACAACCAGCTGTTCAGTATTAACAGCTGCCCATTCTTGAATAACAGCAGACTGTATACCTTTGCTAGCTCCTTCCCAAAGAAGTGATATGAAAAAGGTTGGCCTTAAAATATGAACCATTCAACCCCCAATGGAATGTAGGCTGGAACAAAACTGCTCATACTTATGAGCAAAAAAGCAAAAGTGAAGTGAACTCACAATTTTCCCGCAATATATCGCTGCACTTTGACTTTCTGCATAACAAGTTGTCCTTTCTCATTGAGCACTGGTACAGCTCCCAATGTCGGGAGACGTTGTGGCCCATAGCCTCGCTGGTCACCCTCACGCTGTTCAAATCGAGGAATGTATTCTCCCATCCTGAACAAGGTACGAATGTGATTGAAGCTCTGAATGTAAGCATGGGAGATCTTAAGAACAAAATACAACGTCCAATGGAGGTAGCTGAGTAACAAAAATCCTGTTAGCGAGGAAGACATCAATTCACAAACGGCAAAAACACCCGAAGAAGTTTCCACAACGCCTAGATATCCCAAAAAATATAAAAAAAGTTGAATATCGTAGTAATGTGCTGTTCCGGAGCCTCACTAGAATCTAAATGTGAAATATAAATAGGCACCAGAGGCACCAAAAGGTGTGGTAGCAAAAACTCCAAAGATTCCTTCGTGTCTCTTCGAAGTCTACTGCAATGAAACCTTCTGGTACCTCCACATGTTTTCACGCTCATATTTTTACGTGAATAAAAACAAGGCTAACTAAGGAAAAGCCAAACGCTTTTCAAATGTACAAACTAAGGACACATGCCTGGACCAATTATTTTTCCACCAAGGGTGATCACTGATAATTTTGGAAGCAGGACTCACCATTAATCATACTAAAGCCACTATGAATATCTATCTGTCAGGAAAAAGGAAAAACAAAACAAAATCAGCCGTAACTTTGACACACGCTACTAAACATAGATGGCGACCGAATGGAGCCGAGTAACGGCGGCCGCGTCGCGGCCTTTGCATTGTAGCATGTTATACGAATCACTTTGAAATGTTCTGTACATAGGCCGCGTTCATACATGATGCAGAAATGCAGAACCACGGAATGTGCAGAACTGCGGAATTTGCAGACCTGCGGAATTGGGAGAACCGCGGAACTTGCAGAAAAAGAAAATATGTCTATCGATTTCAAAAACCGTGGAATATGCAGGAGTGTGGGATTTGCAGAAA